GTGATAAAAGTAAAAGTTAAGTTAAATTATAAAATTTAAACAAATCAAGTTTTACCAATTATATTTTTCTTATTGCATTTCGGTATAAGTACTAATTTATTGCAAATAATAAACAGTGGCATAAACTAGGCACTAAAACTGGGTTGGTTGTTATTACCATACATTTTTGTGGAAACAGGGCTTAGAGGCCGACTGAGAGTGACGACTTGTGGGGTTTAGGATGCTATAAAAGCCTGAAAGCCTCTCAACATAAGCAGGAATGCGAAATATATTTTCTAATTTCTCGTTGAACCTTTGCGATGGAGATCAAAATCAAAATTGGTTTTACAGAAAAGATGAATTCGTTCACATAATGATTTCTTATATTTACGCGAATATATTAAATGAAACTATCTACGGATTTTATCGCGTTTAAATTTTAATTTTAATTTCCCGACGTTTCGGGTGGTTTATAGCACCCATGGTCGCGGGGTCGATTTCAAAGTTAGCCCGGCTGCCTTCAGTTTTTGAATATCAATTTTGGTCCGATCTACGCAGAATGAATTCGTTCAATACAATTTTTGCGAATGAATACAGAGAATTCATTTATTGTCCGTTCGAAATTTAGTTCTTTTTTTGTAACGGAACCATAATTTCATATATGTTTGTTTTACATTAACTCCTGGAGTAAAATGTTTGTTAAAAATATCGTTTAATTTTGTGTTTTAATATGCTAACATATGTGATTAAAACTACTTCACGAATTTTATCGCGTTTATTTTTACTTCCAGCTGGAAAGCGCCCGAAACGTCGGGAATTAAAAATAAAAGTAAATAAAAAGTAAAAATAAACGCGATAAAATCCGTAAAGTAGCTTTAATCATGTATAGTGTTCGCGTAAATATAAGAAATCATTATGCTAACATATGTTTAGGAACAACCGTGTCAACAAAAATCAAGCTGATTTGGTTAATCTGGAGCTCCATGCTCACTTGTCTAACGATTTGTGATGGGTGTTGCATTGTCTCACCATATTCCCAGAACCAAAGAACATTGACCAAAGAACTCACCAGAATACATTACCTTGTTTTCCCGTTCATTGTATACATGTAATGTTATGAAATTACTTAAACATTGTTTTTATACATTGTTAATAAATTATTTTTGTGTAGTTTTTGTCTAAATCTCAAAGCGTTGCCCTGCACGTAACCTTTATTAAATAACACTGATTTGAAAACAATACACGTAACATAGCGTGTTTTAATTTAAAAATGTTATTTTTAATATTAACATAATCTGTCTTATTAAAACAAGTTGTTTATAGTTTGTCGCTGGCTTAGAGTCTGTTACATATATACATAAACACTCACGCCTGTCACCCGGAGGGGTAGGCAGAGACTACGGACTTCCATTTGGCACGATACCTCTGACATACCTCTTTCGCCTCCTTTACATCCATATATCTACGCATAATGCTCGTCGGTTAAGGCTACTTCTAACGTGGCCCATTTTCAAAATATCGCCAATTTGGTCGATAAACTTTTTTCTAAGGCGTCCTTTCCCGACTCGCCATTCACACCTGCCATATAAATTTTCTTTGTCACATATTATCGAAGTCCCGTGGAAAGTTTCCCAACTAAAATGTAAAGTATAGAGTTTGACAGCAACTGTCAAATACCGGAAAGATTGTGACGCCGTGGACAAGGAAATTCTTAAGTTAGAATGACGTTTCTTAAACCATAGCTTCAACCAGAGACTATAAGTAGACCACCCATGGGTAATAAGACGGATTACGGTTTTACGTTTTAGAGCTTAACATATACACACTGTAGATAATATAATTGGGAAATTTAAATAGACTAATGGTCAGACACTCAAACGCTGCTCAATTTTAAGATACCGTTAAGTGTCGTGCTGTCTCTATCACTTTAAGTCAAAGTGACTGTTGACACTGACAAACTTGATTGGCGTTTGAGTTGGCCATAAAGGCTGATTTTACAATCATTAAATAAAAGTTATTCATATAATAAAACCGGGGGATTAAACACAACATTAAAAAAATAAAAATTACAATTATATTAATTTACTTGTATAATGGTTTTATTTTTATATTACCAACAGCCCTTAAAGTAACGAACATTTGATCAGCAGTTTGCATGAATATTTTCTACAGCAGCTTTTGCATGTTATTGTAATATTTAGTGCTTTTTAATGCATAAATATTTTTGTATCAAAAGAACTTTTCTTTATTGTCGTTATATTTATTATTTAGGCCGTGTTATATTTTATATTGGTTATCTCATGTTAGCTATGGCATTTATTCGTAGGCTCACGAAATGAAAAAGAGTTAGACGAACCGGTTCTTAAACTATACCTCTTCCGTTATACTGTTTTCTTTAATGCTATTCAAACAATTATTTTTATACATGTATAGTAAAATAAAATAAAAATGTTGATATAATATTTAAGTACTATGGTGGTTATGCCGTGTCTTCTGTAACGAATCTACTATCACTACTGCATCGATCTTAAATCCCTTTGATGATTGATTAATGAACCATTAAAACATTCCATTATCTTCTACACTTTTTTATTATTACCTAAACTAAACTAAACCATTCTTGGATAATTATATAAGTGAATAATGTCATAACATAAAAACTGACGAAAGTTAATATATTGATAAAAATTTGCAATAGCTTTTTTTGTTTTTTAAACCTCTGCTCAGTCATGATCCGATTATCATGTCAGAACATGTTTCAGTTATTTTTAGTAACATATTGACCATGTTTATTCGCTCGTGTAATCGACATTCCTTTGAGATGTGTGTTATTAATGTAACGGTAATATTGGTTTGTTTAGTTCGTAAGGATATTGTTAGAACTAGGTACGCTGTTGCAACTTATAAATTGTTGATATTATCTACAACCAAACTGAGCACGTTAACCCTGCCTACCTGTTTCATAAAATTATACTTTATATTAAAGTAATTTAATAGGTTAAGGTCGCCTTGTATAAGCACGTCCATGATATAGGACAGCGAATGTTTACAATTATTTTGTCAGCGTATCTATTAAGCATATGTTACCAAGATATTTTATTAATTGGCAATATTTTTCTAACGTGTAAGTAGCAATAAGTTAGTTTATAGAATTACTGGATCGAGGTAGAAAGCCGGTCCCTTTGTTTGATTTAATTAATCAAAATACTCGATAGGCGCTGATTTTTTTCCAACAATAAATATAAAAGAGAATAGAAAAGACTACTAATATTTGCAGTCTTGAAGTGTTTTTTTTTTTTGATGTGACGACTCGGTCTTTCTACACTAGACCATCATAATATTGTAAGATAAATGATTCAGTACCCGACGCGAGAACGCTAATGTAGAATACACTGAACGCTTTATATTTTCTTGTTCAATAATAAATGTATGGCTAAATAGCAAAATGTGATCACATCATGAAAAACGTCATATGATCATATTCACTACACTACCATTATAAGACAGAGGTAATATTTTACTAGTTGTTCATTGTTCATATTAAAGCTCTATCTGTAACTGCCATAGTTTAAGAAAAGGATAAAAATTCTGGAATGATATATTACTAAACAATCTGTCCCTTATATATATCCTTTTTTGTATATAATTCATATAAAAAAGGAAGGGCAATGTAAAAATAGTTTATCAATTTGAATACTTTGGCGCCAATTTTATATGAGAAGATATGGCACAGAGTATTAAATAGTTGCATAGAATGCAAAAAAACTCACACTTTGTGATCTGTAACTTCATTTCTCTCGCTTTCCCAGAATCTGTGGGAGTGATTTTGAAAAGGGACGGAAGTGTGTAACAGGAATCTGGGGAAGCGCGCACTATTTGATTTGACCAATAAGCGCGCGCTGTGGTAAAGTGTGCTGTTATATAAACTAATTTGTATGTGTAAACTATATTAATAAATGTATTTATTGTACATAACAAGCGTCTGAAAAAAGTGCAGATCATTGATAAAAACACACTGCATACCTGCAGCCAACTCTAAACCAACAAGCGTAAAAATACGTTAAACTAAAGATATTAAGAGTTACTTTGCAGCCATTCGCTAAATTAAATAAAATGATGTGTCTTACCTAGTTTGAGGAGCACCTCCCGCCTTCCCTCAACTGCGTGCACTAATCCCGTCACACGTTATCGGAATGCCTCAAAATCTGTATTCATACTGGCTCTCTATCTAGCTGGAGGATAGCTGGGAACACAGCGTTGCAAACGTTGTTCTTTGGCGGCAGACTTTTTTAAAATATAACCTTATGACGTAACTTCGTAATTTCTTTTTAATATTTTTACTGTGTAGTGAATATTATCATATTTCAAGTCCAACAAATCCAAAACATATACGCTGGTATTTGCTACAAGATCGTTGTTCATTTTGAACGAATAATTTTTTTTCAAGCCTAAACATAACCCGACTGGTTTGCCATATTATGCTATTTAAGACGGTTTAATTGACTATATTTTTTGGAAAATATAAATTCCTACAATATATTAATAAAATATGTTTTTATGTTATTTTAATGTGAAAAAGAATCTCATCTTAATTCCAAAAATTGAAATTTATGTGCAATACTATTTCTTGTATGTTACTTTACTTATAAGTACATTGTATTTTATGTTACTATACAAAAATCGTAAAAATTAAAAAAATGCTTTTTGCTTCGATTGCATTTATGCATTTTCTATAATTTTTACTGGTTTTGTATTTGTTTTTATTATTTTTAATGTTTTAAAAACAATCGCGATGATCTGCGTACAATCGAGTTAAAAACTGTTGTGATGTTGGAAATCATTCCCATTAAAAGTACATTTTACACGAAAACGTCTTTTTATTTTGAATTCACATTTTTACAGCCCCTCGCAGCACTATTTTATACAAATTTACTATATGATACGTCTGTTTATTAATGAACATAGGTATAATAAAAGCCTTACATATAAGTTATAATTTAGTTTCCTGGATACGGTGACGCTCACAACGAGGTACTGTCCAAATCAGAATCCTGGAAATGAAGAAATAACTAATTCTAAAAACAATTCAGAAAATGTACGTGTAAAATAATTTAAAATAAATTACAGTTTCAATATAGTATGGACAAGACGTCACCATCGGTCTCATTACATATAACGTAGAAGGATCTTTTATAGGCAAGTTATCGACCTCAGAGCCAGAGTATATATATTTCATCCGTAATCAAATAATCCACTGCTGAATGTAAGGCTTCTATAGCAAAAGGGATTTCCGTTTATATTCTATTCATTTTACTTTGAAGACCCTTCTTGTAGCCGGATGGGAAAAGACGCTGGAAACAAAGAGACTGAAACTGACCGTGAACCTGTCCGATTTTGAAAGCGATAGAGAGGAATTAGGTAATGCAATTCCTGTGCATACGGCGAATTAAATCCTGTTCACAGGCCGTGAAACTCCAGTTCCGAACATACGCCTCACCCATAGTTTGCCTCGTGTGGGGATTTTGCCATATCTGCCACACTAGGCGGGTTGGCAACCGCAGATTTTTTTATTATCTGCTGTTGCAGATTCCCTGTGTTGCCTCTTAAGACAACCACGAGCGATATGGACTAGTGCATATTAATACACCGCCACTACACGTTCATAATAAAATCCACATTATATAAAGACATTTCATAATGTATCCAATACTATTTCCCAAAAGCAATCGGTGACAGAAAGAGTAATTTTCGTAATGAAAACTTTTAACGATAACGTGGTAGTGGCATACTGTACCTGCATTTTTTAAAATTTTTATTTTATATAATAAGGGTGACAAATAAGCACATAGTTCACATGATGGTAAATGGATTTTTTTTTATAGAAGAAGGGGCAAACGAGCATGTGGCTCACCTGATGTTAAGTGACTACCGCCGCCCATGATCAACCGCAACACCAGGAGATTTGCGGGTGCGTTGCCGGCCCTTTAGAAAGGAGTAAGCTCTTTTCTTGAAGGTCCCCAGGTCGTATCGGTCCGGAAAAATCGCCGGTGGTAAACTATTCCACAGAAAGGTTGTACGTGGAAAAAAACTCCTTGTGAAACGTACAGTGGTGGACCGCCAAGCATCCAGATGGTGTGGATGGTATCGGGACGTTTGACGTGTAGTGCGTTCACGAAATTTGGCGGCTGGGATTAATCCGAACAATTCCTCAGAGCACTCCCCGTGATAGATGCGATAAAATACGCAAAGAGATGCAACATCTCTTCGCAGCGCCAGTGAATCGAGCCGATCGGAAAGCACTCGGTCGTCGACGATTCGAGCCGCTCTGCGCTGGATGCGGTCAAGTGGAAGAAGCTGGTACTGGGGAGCCTCAGCCCAGAGATGGGAACAGTATTCCATGTGCGGCCGAACCTGCGCCTTGTAAAGTTGCAGGCGGTGTGCCGGCATGAAATACTGTCCCGCTCTGCTGAGCACGTCAAGCTTTTTAGAGGCCAATTTGGCCTTCCCTTCCAAGTGACCACGAAACTGCACGTCACTCGATATGTCGACGCCGAGGATTCCGATACTGGCTGAGGCAACAAGGGGAGTGCCTTGAAACTGAGGGGATACGACAAAGGGGTTCTTTTTAGCGGTTAACGCGCAAACTTGTGTCTTCTGGGGGTTAAACTGGACTAGATTTAGTCGCCCCCAATCCGAGACTGTGTCCAGCAGAGACTCGACTTCAGACACAAGTTTGTCCCGGCACTCGAAGAAGTTTTCCCGAGAAATATTGGCTCGGCCGGTGTAAAGAGCATTACCAGTACTGTCATCTGCATAGCAATGAATGTTACGGGTATGCAACATGTCATTGATATGCAGAAGAAACAGCGTTGGCGATAGCACACAGCCCTGTGGAACACCAGCATTAATAGGCTTGCAATCGGAGCTTGCACCGTCTACAACGACCTTGATGCTCCGATCTGCAAGAAAGCTGGTGATCCAATCGCACAATTTCTCGGGAAGCCCATAGGAAGGGAGCTTCGAAAGAAGCGCTTTGTGCCAAACCCGATCGAAGGCCTTCGCAATGTCCAAACTAACGGCCAATGCCTCCCCCTTGAACTCTACTGCCTCCGCCCATCTGTGAGTTAAGTAGACCAGAAGATCACCAGCTGACCGACCACGGCGAAAACTGTATTGGCGGTCACTAATCAGCTGGTGATCTTCAAGGTACCTCATGAGCTGGCAGTTTACAATGGATTCCATTGTTTTGGAGAACAAGGAGATGATGGCGATAGGCCGGTAGTTGGACGGGTCAGAGCGGTCGCCTTTTTTAAGGATCGGGTGGACGTAAGCCGTCTTCCATGATTTTGGGACTACGCCTAGGGAGTAGGAGTACCGGAAAAGACGCGTTAAAACCGGTGCCAACTCTGGAGCACACGTCCTCAGCACAATTGGGGGGATTCCGTCAGGCCCACTCGACTTGTGGATGTCCGAGGAGTGCTTTGCGAACCGAGCGCTGTGTGAAGTGCACTTGGTAAATGGATGCTGTAGTCTATAGACATCTAAATATATCCTTGATTAAGTATCAAAATTCAGATGCGTTGTCACCCCTGAGGAATAATGCCGCTGATCGAATGCCTCGTTTCCAGTAAAATGAGCATGTGCAGCAGCATTAAACTGGTGTTCAGTGAGAGCGTGGTTCTACCCTGGTCGGGTCGACCTATTCGTGCCACAACCATAATATAGCCGCAGCGTGGCTCTACTTCGTTTGTTAGATCCACACAACGTTATGTTATGTTAAAATAAATTGGTTGACTTAACTATTTTGTAACGGAGATGCTTTTTTTTTTGTCGGCAACAAAAAGCGACAGTACATAGTCTAATGGCAGGGCATCACTAACTCAAAAGATAGCGGATTCGATTCGCCTTTCGTGAGCCACTCTTAACACAAGCATGTTAAGCTTACTAGGAGCGGTTAAAGGGAATATTAGCAATGTTGATGGTTTGCTGGTATTTTTATTAATTAAAAAAAAATCAGACATTCTATCTTTCTTTTATAGAAGAGGGGGCAAACGAGCATGCAGCTCACCTGATGTTAAGTGACTACCGCCGCCCATGATCAACCGCAACACCATGGGAATTGCAGGTTCGTTGCCGGCCCTTTCGAAAGGAGTAAGCTCTTTTCTTGAAGGTCCCCAGGTCGTATCGGTCCGGAAAAATCGCCGGCGGTAAACTATTCCACAGAGAGGTTGTACGCGGAAGAAAACTCCTTTTTGAAACGTACAGTGGTGGACCGCCAAGCATCCATATAGTGTGGATGGTATCAGGACGTTTGCCGCGTAGTGCGTTCACGAAATTTGGCGGCTGGGATTAATCCGAACAATTCCTCAAAACACTCCCCATGGTATATGCGAAAGAAAATGCAAAGAGATGCAACATCTCTTCGCAGCGCCAGTGAATCGAGCCGATCTGAAAGCACTCGGTCGTCGACGATTCGAGCCGCTCTGCGCTGGATGCGGTCAAGTGGAAGGAGCTGGTACTGGGGAGCCCCAGCACAGAGATGGGAACAGTATTCCATGTGCGGCCGAACCTGCGCCTTGTTAAGTTGCAGACGGTGTGCCAGCATGAAATACTGTCCCACTCCACTGAGCACGCCAAGCTTTTTAGAGGCCAATTTGGCCTTCTCTTCCAAGTGACCACGAAACTGCACGTCACTCGATATGTCGACGCCGAGGATTCCGATACTGGCTGAGGCAACAAGGGGAGTGCCTTGAAACTGAGGAGATACGACAAAGGGGTTCTTTTTAGCGGTAAAAGCGCAAACTTGTGTCTCCTGGGGTTTAAACTGGATTAGATTTAGTCGCCCCCAATCCGAGACTCTGTTCAGCAAAGACTCGACTTCAGACACAAGTTTGTCCCGGTACTCGGAGATGTTTTCCCGATAAATGTTGGCACGGCCGGTGTAAAGAACATCACCAGTGCTATTATCTGCATAGCAATGAATGTTACGGGTTTGCAACATATCATTGATATGCAGAAGAAACAGCGTTGGCGATAGCACGCAGCCTTGTGGAACACCAGCATTAATATGCTTGTAATCGGAGCTTGCACCGTCTACAACGACCTTGATGCTCCGATCTGCAAGAAAGCTGGTGATCCAATCGCACAATTTCTCGGAAAGCCGGAAAGGAAGGGAGCTTCGAAAGAAGCGCTTTGTGCCAAACCCGATCGAAGGCCTTCGCAATGTCCAAACTAACGGCCAATGCCTCCCCCTTGGACTCTACTGCCTGCGCCCACCTGTGAGTTAGGTAGACCAGAATATCACCACCTGACCGACCACGACGAAAACCGTATTGGCGATCACTAATCAGCTGGTGATCTTCAAGGTACCTCATGAGCTGGCAGTTAACAATAGACTCCATTGTTTTGGAGAACAAGGAGGTGATGGCGATAGGCCGGTAGTTGGACGGGTCTGAGCGGTTGCCTTTTTTAGGGATCGGGTGGACGAAAGCCGTCTTCCATGATTTTGGGACTACGCCTAGGGAGTAGGAGTACCGGAAAAGACGCGTTAAACCCGGTGCCAACTCTGGAGCACACCTCCTCAGCACAATTGGGGGGATTCCGTCAGGCCCAATCAACTTGTGGATGTCCAGGGAGAGGAGTGCTTTGCGAACCGAGCGCTGTGTGATCTGCACTTCCGGCATGGAGCACTCACACCGCGGGATGGTCGGCGGCGTACTCACCTCGTCATCGAGAGTCGAGTTGGACGCAAAGAAAGAGCCCAGCAGATCGGCTTTCTCCTTTGCGGTATGGGCCAGTGAGTCGTCCTTCCTGTGCAGAGATGGAAGAGATGGCTGACATAAATTCTCCTGGACAGCCTTGGCGGGCGACCAGAATACACGGGTTCCAGAAGGAAGGCGAACTAGTTTCTCGCCAATTCTGCCTATGTGCTCTGACTTTGCCTTGGCAATGACTCTTTTGAAGGACCTAGAGGCGGAATTATACTTCTTTTTTAGAGCGCTGGTGTTTACATCCCGGGACGTTGATGCGTCAGCCCAGGCGTGTTAGCACGGTGCTATTGCATATGTTGCTTATAGCATGATGCTATTTTACAGGAGCGACCAAACCATGGCTGAGATTTGCCTCCAATGGGCACCACAGAGGAAGGAATAAAAAGTTCCATACCCTGAAGTACCACATCAGCGACAGAATCCGCAACAACGTTGGGATCGTCCGGCGAGAAGCAAACCCGCCCCCAAGGGTAGGATGCAAAGAAATACCGCATCCCATCCCAATCGGCTGACCTATAGTGCCTAACACGGCGGCAGCCTGCAGAATGCAACTGCGATTTCAGCATGAGTGGCACCACACTCCGGACAAGACAATGGTCCGATGAGCCTAAAGGGGACGACAGAAATCTGATATCCGTCCGGGTGAGAGGTCAGTAGAAAGTCCAACAGGGAAGGTGCATGATCCTCCACATCTGGAATCCGCGTAGGCGGAGTAACCAGTTGTGTCAGACCATACGCCAAGGCAAAATCATGAACAGATCTCCCCGCAAAATCGGTTAAACGTGAACCAAGCCATTCGGCGTGATGGGCGTTAAAGTCGTCGACGATCACGATCTCTGCGGAGGGGATCTGCTGTAGCAACGAATCTGTCGAAGAGTCGGTCTGTTTCGGCATTACCGCTATGGGACCTATAGAAGCACCCGTAGACGCGCGGATGGTCGTCGCTGTCTACACGTAGCCAAAAGATGGACAGGTCCGAACCTTCAAGTCTGCCGAGGCGTCGAGAACAGATTTCCTCCTCTCTGACGTAAACGCAACCTCCAACTCGAAGCACAAAGGAGTGTTCCAGTTTGTACTCCGGGTAGGAGAGATGCGAGACATCAGCCGGAGAGGACACCTGCGTCTCGGTCAGAAAGAGCAGAGCCGGCCTCGCCGTCTCGAGATGGTAGTGGACGGCGTTTAGGTTAGAGTGAACTTAATAACATAACATAAACACTCACGCCTGTCACACGGAGGGGTAGGCAGAGACTACAGACTTCCCTTTGGCACGATCCTGACACACCTCTCTCGCCTCCTTCAATCCATACACCTACGCATACATGCTCGTCGGTTAAGGGTACTCCTAATTTGGCCCGTTTTCAATAAATCGCCAATTTGGTCGATAAATTTTCGCTTAGGACGTCCCTTTCCGACTCTGCCATTCACTTCTGCACCATAAATTTTCTTTGTCACTCTTTCCTCATTCATTCTTTCCACATGACCAAACCACCGAAGCATTCCTTTCTTAATCCTGGTCACAACATCATCTTGCAAACCACACTCTTCTCTTATTACACAATATATTACCCTGTCGTTCAGATTCAGCCCTAACATACTTCTTAAGGACCGCATTTCTACTACGTTGATTCTACTCTCGTGCTTCTTCTGCCACACCCAACTTTCACTACCATACGTTAAAGTAGGGACCAACACAGCATTGTGAATTGCCATACGTGCCTTTTTTGACACATTTTGACTCTTCACAATAGAGTGCAGGGCCCCATTTACTCTATTTCCCGCATTCACTCGTCGTTCTATATCCTTATCATATCTCCCATCCCTGCTAAATACGCAGCCCAAATATACAAACCCATCTACTTGCTCGATCAACTCCCCTTCTATTCTTATTTCACAAATCGTTTTACTTTCTTCTCTTTCAAAAACCATAACCTTCGTCTTACTTGCGTTCACTTTCATACCCCTTTCTTTTAATGATCCGTTCATTAATGTAACCATCATTTGCAACTCGGCCGCCGACGACGCAAGGATAACTTGATCATCGGCGTACAAAAGGCATTTGACGGTTAACTCACCCATTCTTAATCCGCATTCTTCAACTTTCAAATTATGCAAACAACTGTCCATAAATAGGTTGAACAGCCACGGGGAAGCCACACAGCCCTGTCTGACACCTTTATGGATGTCAAACCAGTCCGAGTAGACCCCGTTGATCCTAACACAAGCACTAGAGTCCCTATAAAGAGACTCCAATGCCTGTATCAAGCCAGCCCTCAACCCAAATGAGTTCAGTGTTTGCCATAGCACATCCCTATCCACTCTGTCATAGGCCCTTTTCAAGTCCATGAATGCACAAAAAACCTTTTGGTTTATGGCCAAAAACTTCTCCGCGATCATGCGCATGGAAAAGACTTGATCTGTACATCCCATTCCCTTTCTGAATCCCGCTTGCACATCCCAAATTTTTTCATCAGTTTCTTTCATGACCCTTTCAATCAGTACCTTAGCATTCAGTTTTCCCACAATGCTAAGAAGGCTGATGCCACGGCAGTTTTTACAGTTCTGCTGCGACCCTTTTCCTTTATATACTGGGACTATTACGGCTTTGCACTTGTCTACCGGTACCCGCTTCAGTTCCCAGCATAAATTAAACAAGGTGTGCAACAGGCCCGCCACGACTTCCTCTCCAGCCCTTAGCATTTCGAGTGAAACTCTATCATATCCAGCAGCCTTACCTGCTTTCATGCTTTTCATTGCTTTCATTATTTCATCTACACTTATCTCGCTACCTCTTTTCCTCTTCTTTCGGAGTTTCTACTTCACTTAGTACACACGTTGTCTCCTCACTCATAAACACGCTTTCAAAATATTCCTTCCATCTCTTTAAACTCAAAACTTCATCTTTCAGAATATAGCCATTCTCGTCTCTTATAGCATTCATCATAGGCTGTTTTGAATGTCCCCTGGCAGTTCTTACAAGTTTCCGGAACATTTTAATATTTGCCTGGAAGTTATCCGATATTCTTCTATCATTCTTATCCGTTCTTTCTTGCTTTTTTCTTTCAACTACTTCTTTTACTCTCTTATTAAGATGTTTAAAGACTGCCTTTTTTCTTTCAATATCACCATTCGTAGCACTAGAATTAGCAGCCTTTGTTGCTAGTAAATCTAGCCATGCTCTCTTCTTTGCTTCAACTTCCATACGTATCTCATCATCCCACCATAACGTATTATTTTTCCTTTCATTCTTCCTCTTACTAACACCACATACTTCGGTAGCTGCATCCACTAAACCTTTCTTTACATTTTGCCATACATTCTCCAAGTCTAACTCCTTCATACATAATTCATCCAAACCACTTATATTTTCTTTCAGTCTACATTTGAACTTGTTTCTCTCACCTTCATCTTGTAACCTTTCTGTTCTAATACGCTGTAACGCAGTGGTAGACACAGATGATCGATGGCGCCAACGCCTGAATAGACCATTAATTCGGCATAAAACCAAATAATGATCCGTTCCTACGTTAGAACACCAGTAAATCCTTGTATCTACCACTGCGCACCTCAATCTTTCATCCACAATTATGAAATCTATCATGCTTCTATCGTCACCTCTTTCCCAAGTATACATGTGAATCCTCTTGTGGCGAAAGCAAGTGTTCGTCACAAAAAGATTCTTTTCCATACATACGGTGAGGAGACTTTCACCATTCTCATTTATACTTTCATCACCAAACGTTCCCAATATCCTTTCATAACCAAGCCTCCTCACCCCAACCCTTCCATTAAAATCTCCGAGCATAATAACATTTTCATTTCCCTTACACTTCATTAACACCATCCTTACCATTTCCCAAAACTGCTCTCGGATATAAGTGGGCTTAGACATGTCTGGAGCGTAGACCCCTAACACAAACAACTTCTTTAAGCCCACTTTCATTCGTATCCATAGGAGTCTTGGGCTTACACATTCATACTCTTTCACACATTGGCCCATTCTTTCTGAAAGGATGATACCTACCCCCTGACATGCCCGCTCGATCTCGTCTACACCAGACCAGTATGCGGTATACATGCCATGTGTAGTGACATCCTTCCCCTTCCTTTTCGTCTCATTTACACATAACACATCTATTCCTCTATCATACATCATGTCGCATACTTCGTCCATTTTATCATTCATTGCCCCACATACATTCAACGTAGCCAGACGGGCCTCTGCAATCCACTTTTCGCCTCTCCGGGAGACAGAACGTGACGGGTGGCGAACCTCGTCGCCGGTTTTCCTCCCGAAGATTCTTCGCACCCCTGCCCCATTAAAGGGGCGCCGGGAACTCGGGGCCATTTCTTTTATATAGTTCCTCATGGTGCGAAAATATTGGGTAGTATGTTTTACGCCGCTACCACGGCGTGGAGCTGAGTCTGTGCTATCGGCTTGTCGCTCATTTAGCACCACCCGGGGGACACGTGTAGGGTGGGCCTAGGAATAGGTGGTCATAGCCTACGGACGCGAGCGACTTATCCCCCAAGTCTCTTAATATTGCAGAAATTCACGGATAGCGTGGCAGGGGTCGCCTTGGTCTTGTTGCTCCGCTTGTCCCGAGCAGTTGTAGTCTTGAGCGGAATTTTGCCCCCCCCCCCAGAATACGCGGGGCAGCCTGAGCACCCACGCCCAGGAGTGGAGAAACATGGTCGTGGATACTCAGCGAGGGATTCTGGTATTTCCAGGGTATATATTCTCCAGGGGTGCTGGTACCCTGGTCCTGGGGTAGTCTATCATCATTTAATTCCGCTACCATGTGGATGGGGGGGGGAGATTTGGGCCTCCAGCTACCTGCACTCACCAGATGAAACGCGGAAGCAGAGCTTCCACTTCACGCCGGTATTCTGTGAGGTTGTGGTACCACCCCGGTTTGAGCCGGCCCCACAGGTATGTAGGTGTGTACCGGCCACAGCATCTACTCACCATTAAGTGGGCTGCCTATTTTCGCAGTCGATTTTAGTAGACTGGTGGTGGTGACAAAATATTACCGAATTAATTAAATTAAAAAAATACCTTTAAATCAACATTTTGTAACGCTTCCTCTAATACAAGTAGTCCAGGGTCGTCAGGCGTAAACACACGACATTCCTCGTTGAAAAACCTCTCCATCTTCAGTCGCAGTTCTTCAGCGTGTAGCTTTTCCATACCACTGGTCTCCTCGTTCAACTCAGATGATGACTTAAAACTATTAATTTTTTTTGAACAAACGACATCGTCAGACAGGATGAGAAGGGGTGATTTATTTATTTATATTATATTATTTGCATCATAAAAATAAATCAACAATAAATAGTGCCAGCTCCAGTCATGGAAAAATAGAACATTCAACACGACATTCTTCTTGTTAGATGCATCTAACAAGAAGAATGTTGGCTATGAAAATGAATGGATATAAGAGTAGAGGGAAGCCTAGTAAAAGATGGTTAGACTGTATCAAGGATGATATGCTTAAGAAAGGAGTGAGTGAGGAGATGACGGCTAACAGAGGAGAATGGCAGCGGAAGGCATGATATGCCGAACCCAAATAACTTGGAATAAGAGCAGGAAAAAGGTATTATTTACATGATGAATCAATATTGTTGATTTTAAGAACGAGGTAATGCTATTTTACGCTGATATTCTGTTATAGCGGGGTCCTACCCCGGCCAAGCTGATCAATTCGTGTTACAACCACAATATAGCTGCAGCATGGCTCTACCGCGTATAGGATTATAAAATCAAAGAAAACAGTACTTATCATCTATTTCATAATACGAGAACAAATTGACATAAGTATTTGCGTTTCGTTATTACACAATTTTTAGTGAAATTTGTTTTTATCGTAATTTATTCAAAACGCATTTCCAACATCTAAAAACAGTGAAATAGGTTCAAGCTTAATACTAACAAGCCTCCTAGACTAAAAACATTATCAAAATCAAGTACCGGATGTCTATACCCAACCCATAATTTATAACAGCCTATTAAAAGCACATTACTGAGCACAAGTTTCCCCTACAGATTGCCCCATAGCGGTGATATTTGCCATAGTTTGCTACGCCCGGCAGAAGAGTTGGCAACCGCAGATTTTATTATTTCAACCATTATTAAGAAGATGTTACTGTCCATCTCCTGTTTCGGTTTATCTCTTTCGCTATTAAAGCGGCCACAGGATGACATGTGGTTGAGTAGTTGTTAAACATTTTACTACACGGCAAGTGTATACTCGTATTAATGTATATAAATGCAATTTTTCATCATGGATAAGGATATCAAGAAATTATAAATGTTATCAAATTGCACTTACCTACTGATAGACTCTAGATATTCAGGAGGGAAGGAATCCAGTACAGTTCTCATTTGGACCCACGGGTCACTAAAGCTTCTGCTCTTGAACTGAATCAAAATAAAAAGGTAGGTGTTATTTTTTATTTACTTGTGTATTAAGATGAATTCACGTCTTCGAAATATTGTTTTTAATTTCCTATACATGCAGGTTTCCTATGATGTTTTCCTTCACCCCCGAGCAGGTAGTAATTCAGCATAAAATTGCAATTAACAATGATAGTGGTGGGGATCGAACCCAGGTTGCTCGCGTGATGTGAAATTTTACGCCGAGCGCTTAGTCCCTGAGCTAACACAGCTCTCTTATTATAGAGAGACAGACAATATTAAAAAAATGGTTGCTTATGTTTTAAACACATGCATTTTTCGATCTTCTCGATAATTATTTTTCGTGTTTTAAAAAAATTTACTCAAAAAAGGGCTCCAAATAATATATTTTCTCACAAAAGAAGGAACTTGAAAAAAAGGAAAAACGAGTCACACCGGCGACATTTGGACTCGAACAGCGTTCTATGATTTCAGCACCGCTCTATTTCATTTCGAGATTTTAGTTACCACCAATATCTTGTATATACTGTGTGACTTTTTTACCGTCTGGAAAAAAATAGGGTGTAACAGGTGAACGGAGTAGAAGCCTATGGGACTGATATTTTACAATCAGCAGTCGCACTACTACAACCACTAGACCAACGAGGCAGTGATCATGAGGTCCTGAGTTCGAATCCCGGGTCGGGCCAAAGAATTAATTATTGAGTTTTTCCGTCAAGAAATTCTCAGTCTTCCATTTAAACTGTTATAACCTTTTATGCACAGGCAAAGGAAGAGGAAGAGGGTCGCAGCAGGACTGTAAAAACTACCGTGGCATCAGCCTTCTTAGCATTGTGGGAAAACTGTATGCTAAGGTACTGATTGAAAGGGTCATGAAAGAAACTGATGGAAAAATTTGGGATGTGCAAGCGCGATTTAGAAAGGGAATGGGATGTACAGATCAAGTCTTTTCCATGCGCATGATCGCGGAGAAGTTTCTGGCCAAAAACCAAAAGGTTTTTTGTGCGTTCATGGACTTGGAAAAGGCCTATGACAGAGTGGATAGGGATTTGCTATGGCAAACACTGAACTCATTTGGGTTGAGCTCTGGCTTGATACAGGCATTGGAGTCTCTTTATAGGGACTCTAGTGCTTGTGTTAGGATCAACGGGGTCTACTCGGACTGGTTTGACATCCATAAAGGTGTCAGACAGGGCTGTGTGGCTTCCCCGTGGCTGTTCAACCTATTTATGGACAGTTGTTTGCAAAATTTGAAAGTTGAAGAATGCGGATTAAGAATGGGTGAGTTAACCGTGAAATGCCTTTTGTACGCCGATGATCAAGTTATCCTTGCGTCGTCGGCGGCCGAGTTGCAAATGATGGTTACATTAATGAACAGATCATTAAAAGAAAGGGGTATGAAAGTGAACGCAAGTAAGACGAAGGTTATGGTTTTTGAAAGAGAAGAAAGTAAAACGATTTGTGAAATAAGAATAGAAGGGGAGTTGATCGAGCAAGTAGATGAGTTTGTATATTTGGGCTGCGTATTTAGGAGGGATGGGAGATATGATAAGGATATAGAACGACGAGTGAATGCGGGAAATAGAGTAAATGGCGCCTTGCACTCTATTGTGAAGAGTCAAAATGTGTCGAAAAAGGCACGTATGGCAATTCACAATGCTGTGTTGGTCCCTACTTTAACGTATGGTAGTGAAAGTTGGGTGTGGCAGAAGAAGCACGAGAGTAGAATAAACGCAGTAGAAATGCGGTCCTTAAGGAGTATGTTATGGCTGAATCTGAATGACAGGGTAAGAAATTGTGTAATAAGAGAAGAGTGTGGTTTGCAAGATGATGTTGTGACCAGGATTAAGAAAGGAATGCTTCGGTGGTTTGGTCATGTAAAGAAAGGAAAGAGTGACAAAGAAAATTTATGGTGCAGAAGTGAATGGCAGAGTCGGCAAGGGACGCCTTAGGCGAAAATTTATCGACCAAATTGGCGATTTATTGAAAACGGGCCAAATTAGGAGTACCTTTAACCGACGAGCATGTGTGCGTAGGTGTATGGATGTGAAGGAGGCAAGAGAGGTGTGTCAGGATCGTGCCAAATGGTCTGTAGTCTCTGCCTACCCCTCTGGGTGACAGGCGTGAGTGTTTATGTATGTATATGCACTGGCAAAAAAAATAGGGTGTAACAGGTGAACGGAGTAGAAGCCTATGGGACTGATATTTGTAGTGTTATGCTTACATACATACTTACATATCATTTTACACTATTTTATTTTTATTTTTCCATTCTGTTTTTGATTTTCTACATTCACCTCAAAACTGGATATTTTGCATCACCTTTATTTCCATAGGATCCTGTAATATTTTTAATTCATAAGAACACAATAACAAATCATTTTCACTTCGTATTTTCACGTTATCAGCACTTTTTAAATCGGTGTCAATGGAGTCTACCTTTTTTCGATCTTTTATTTAGTTCTCCGTAACTCTACAATTTCGGGTTTCGTGCGCGCTCTTGCGCTACCTTTTTTCCTATATAAATAATATCTCATTTTTCACTTAAATCTTGCCGTTTCTGTATTACGAGCTTAAAACCAAAATTTGACATGTTTTGACATCGTTGTTTATCTGGTTGTCGTGGCAATTTTTATTCAAATATTGTTACCGGCCTGATGTTTTTACTTCAAAAATACTCTTTTCTTCTTGGCCATTTACAAAAATTTGCTTTTAATTTAAATAATTTCAAATAATTTCTCGTTCTTATCCCAGATCCGTCAAAAGATAAAAGCCGAAGAATCGGCCGATAGAGGTCCTCACTTCAGCTTTGATACGAGAAGCACCTCTTAAAGGCTTTATCCGCACTGCCTCGGGATCTTGCAAGCCTTCTCCTGAAGTCGTCGCCTAGCCACGCCTACGCCTCCACCTATTAGTGCCCGCGCTATCTTCGGCCGCTGAGCGTGTTTGTCTCAAGCGCTGCGTGTTCCTACTCCAGACGCTGCGAGTCTACTCCGGACGCTGTGTGTGTCTACTCCGGACGTTGTGTTTGCCTACTTCAAGCGCCACGTGTACCTACTCCAGACGCTGCGTGTCTACTCCGGGTGCTGCGTGTATCTGCTCCGGGCGTTGCGTGGGCCTACTCCAAGCGCTGCGTGTACCTTCTCCAGACGCTGCATGTGCTTTCTCCAGATTCTGCGTGTACCTAGAGCAGGCGCTGCGCACCTATCATAGGCATAGCCTGTGCATACTTCGTTGCAGTATCTTTATTTTTGTTATTTTTTTTTAATAATATTGTAAATCACTATCATCATTACAGCCCATCATCACCTTCATACCTTTTTTTATAAAAGAAACTGTAAATCTTTTCAAATTTTTAAATAATTTATTTTATTTTTGGTTGTTTTGTTGTAGTTAGGTTAGGTTATTTAGTTTTTAATTGTCGCTTTACGACAATTTGGCGCCCGACGTAAAAGTTCTTCTTTTCTTCACCTTAGCTACGCCTTATCCATTTCCTTTTGATTGAATTGCTTTCTCTTTCGTTCTTAACTCTTTATTTACTCATCCTTATCATATCTTCCAAATTCTAAAACAAAACTTCATCTAGTTTTTCAACTTATCTGGATTACATTTAGACCTACATATAACACTTCACTTACATTCATCACTTTAATATTTTTATTCTAGAGGTACAATTTTTTATTAAATTTTTATTTCTTAAACTTAACACTTAATTATAACAATGAAACGGGTTATTAAGTACGAATTCCTTAACAAGGCCGAACTCGAATACGAAGTGAAGATTAGATGTGAGGAACCAGCTAATACTGTTTTGCTTCTAAAAAAACAGGTTTTGCGTTTAGTTGAGAATTCTCACCCTGAAGATATTCTGACTTCTCCAATTCCGATCGAGGATGACTTGTCTCAAATTGGTTCTACTTTGACTTACCTGGACTGTAAAATTGAAAAATTTTTACAAGGTGAAACCAAATACTTACGATTAATAGAAACTTTTATTAATCATGTTTTTTACAGATTGGAGCGAATAGATACTGACTTATATCCAGACTTTAAAGCTATTTTCGATACTTTGAAGATGAAATTTGACGCTATTACTAAACAATTCGAATCCTTGACTCCACCTCCAACTGAAAATGACTCTCCATCACTTGACCCTCCTGTTGACCCGATTGTCATGGAACCTCCTCTTGTTTCTCAAACATCTGTTAAGATCCATACCCCGTATCCTTCACCACTACCTCAATCTTTTTCTCCAACTAACGTCTTCAAAGATCTGAAAAGACACACCTTCAATGGTAAAAGCTGTCCAAGATCCTTTCTTCAAAAACTTGAAGAATACTGCTTAGCTCGTAGCTTATCCAAAGACTTGTTGATCTCTCAAGCATTTGAAATTTTCACCGACAATGCTCTTCATTGGTTCAGATTTAAATATAATCAGAATCCAAACTTAACTTGGAACGAACTTTCCTCTTTATTAATCAAAGACTTTGGTGGTTTTGATTATGATTATAAACTTCTAGAAGCGATTAGGAACCGAACTCAAGGCCGTGATGAACCTATCGTCATCTATATTTCCATCATGTCTGGAATGTTCACTCGTCTTTCGAAGAAACTTTCTGAAACAGAACAATTGGAGATTATTTTGAGGAATATTCGCCCATGTTATTCAGTCTTCGTAGCTCTAAAAGACATTGACTCTATCGACTCTCTTCTGGCTACTTGCCAAAACTATGAAAAGTTCCTTGACAGAGACAAACAATTTAAAGAACCAAATGTACAACAAAGTCCTCTTATTTCTGAATTCAACTACAAGCATTCCACTTCAAGTTCAGTTGGCTCTTCAAATTCTTCTAATAACTCACAACCTTCTCCTCCCTTTATGAATAAATTCACTTCATCCTACAAATACCCTTCTAGACAAGTTAATAGTCTCTCTCAAACTAAAGCTACTCAAGAAAGCTCTTTTTGTGTTCGCTGTCGTAAACAAGGTCATACTTTGAACA